AAGAAACAAGACTACTATTCCATTCATCTCCAAAACCATGCTGAAGTTAGAGTTCATGTACGTTGATTGTTAATGACACTTTCCTTACTGTTTACTTGTTTTCCTTTATGTATCAAATTGCACAGATGACAAATTTGGTTGATTATTAATGGAGAACATCTTACCTGGGGGAGTGAACAGGACTCCCTGAAAATTCCCCTCTTTGACAGAGACCCGGCTGACGCCCTCTCCCATCAGAAGCCTCTCATTGGTCGCCTCTGCCAGCGTCCTACCCTCCCCCTCGCCCTCATGCACAGAGAGCTTCACCACATGGGGGTTTAGTGAATTGTTCTTGAAAAAGTAATTGTGCAAGATGTCTGGCCTCATCGACCACAGCAGCCCCATGGGTTCAACCCCGACATAGCTCCCACTGAGTGAGGGGTCTCTGTCCAGGTCGATCTCCCCTCTCCCATCAGCCCTGTAGGTGGCTGAGGAGCTGAACACCACTCCTCGCTCGTCAGCAGATCTGGCTCTCATAGTGACCACCTGCCTCGACCTCAGCCCGGACACCTTCAGCTGAACAGGCTCATCGAATAAGCATCTGAAACTCGGCAGCAGCCTCAGTCTGATTTGGGAGGACATCTCTTCACAATCTAAAAATCCTCTCTTCACAAATTCAGACTCTGTCCTGTGTCTGTAACAAAGTAAACAGGACAGTCATTTTTTCTGCACAATGTGACAAAGCTAGAGCGGGGATCATTCTAAAATTTTCGATACTGGTACCTTGACTTTGATACAGGCTCCTAAACAATACTTGTTTCAATACTAATTTTATAAAATCAATTTAACAAAAACATATACATACATTGCACATTTTGGTACAGATCATCAGTTTTATTTATCAATTCATTGGCATTTTTGTGCAACTGAAGCCGTTTGATAACATAAAAAGTAAACCTATTTACCACAACCTTAAGTTCTTTTAATATTAACATCAGTAAAAATGTAGAAAAGACATGTCTGAAGTTTGACCAACTGATCTGATTCATATAACTGAGTATGGTCTACAAAGAATATACTGTGATCAACAGGGGTGTGACGAGATCTCGTGCCATGGGACCTCAGACATCAGTACATAAAAGACTAGTAGCAGGGTCAGGGGAAAAACTGTCAGTGTCCAGACTGAGCCCAGTGGTCATGAAGCACCTAGAGACCTTAACACCAAATCCCATCCAAAATTTGGGCAATTTAAAATTACTTTATCCGTGTTGTCGTTTTCTAATGTGTCGCTTTCTTCTGTTAAAAAGAGTTTTTCCTCTCCGCTGTCGCCATTTTCTTGCTCAACAGTGGCCTGAGATGATGTTTGCTGTGATTTGGTGCTTTACAAATAAAACAATAATATTTTCGCATTAAGTGACATTTGACAAATCGCTGCGCTCTTTTGGTAGATGTGGCGCTCTGGTGATCCACCAAGCACTCTACATAACATCTGATAAGGACAACAAGGACCTTTGCAAAGCCCCAGGCTTTCTAGGACAGAGGTCAACAACCAAAAAGGAGCGATAACTGGCCATAGGCCGTTTTAATGTTAAAGTCTATGACAACTTTGTAATGCAGTGTCACCATTATTTACAGTAGCTAGTATGTGTCCGTGTTAAAACGTTGTGTAAAGACAGTAAAGCGGGAAACTCCTAGATTTGGATCTTCAGGGTGAGTGTCACTCAGTACAACGTAACACTTGTTCTATGATAAGATCCGGTGAGTTTGATATAACTTACGCCGAATTAGATAGTGAGGCTGGTCAAACATCTTTATGATGTGTGTACTTTAAACAGACAAGTCAGGCTTCTTTCACTTGGTCTGCACACTCTGAGGCAGATGGTATGACCAAATTCACATTTAGGCTATAGCTACACACACACTTGTCTGTTACAATCTGTTGCATGCTGTTAATGGACTACTTCGAAATTAAATAAGAAACACGGTTACCAACCTACCTAGCGAATTTTCTAGCATGCACAGAGGACGCTTCGACCTCTTCTTCGTCGGTCTTTATCGGTGGCTTGCTGCCAACTTAAGGTGCATCACTGCCACCTACTGAACTGGAGTACTGGAGTACACACAACATGTTCGACTGTCTATTCCTCACCACAGTACTCACAGTAGCCTGAAGGGTGTTTTCCAGTTTTATACAAAGTGTGGTTCAAACCCGTATCCCCTATTCTCAGACAAGTCTTCTCTCCTTGATTTTACAATCCACTTTGCCCTGAAGCTTATACAAACATCTGCCAGTTTTTTCATAGTTGCTCCCCAACATTTCTTTGATAACCACACTTGTTTTACAATTTTTATTTGAAACATTTATGAAAGGTCTATAAAAATTAAAATTCCAAACAGTTTATACAAAGTTCAGTTTAGCTTCACCCAGTATCTAAACCCACCTGCTGCAACAATAAAATGCAGTTGACCTGTTAGTCAATGTTGAAATAACAGCCAACATTTTACATTAGTTCGACCAATTTTCAACAACAGCTGCAGACTTCTGGCAAATCTACTGGCTGTAAATGTTACCCTGACTAGACTGTTAGTGGAAGGACATGAGTAAGACATTATTTCTACAATCCTTGGGTGTAGATTGCTTACAAAAAGACATACCAATTCAAAATGAGCTACAAATGCAAGTAGCTGGTTTATCATTAATGAATAAAAGCAGGACTTACCACATACTATAGGAAATAACCTTTAGAAGAAGATCAAAAATGATTGAAGTTATTATTTAAGCTATGGATTTGCCCATGTACAGTAGGCTGCGCAATGGCTCTCACTTTCTCTCTGTGAAGATACTTTTGTACATCATACAAGAAATTCACACTGAAAAACAAGAAATCAGCTTAATTTCCCATAATTACACAGTAGCCTTCATTAATAAAGTGAGTTTAGCATTACCACAGTGTTGTTTGTATCAGTGTAGTTGCACCTATAACTTGGCTTCAGACAGTGCAGCATCACAGCTCAGGTGAGTTCTGAAGTAGTCCTGGATCTTCTTCCACAGGTGGACTTCGGCTGCTGCGTGGTCCCTGGGCTCACCCCCCCACAAGGCTGCAGCGTGAACGACCCCATGCATAGCAGAGGGACAGAACGGTCCATACGGGGGCTCTAAATAATGTCCAGCTCCAGGGTAACACACACTCTCAAAGTTCTCCTTCCCATGGTGCTTCAGTCTCTCTACCATCTGGTCCATGTAAGCCTTGCTGTCCCAGTTCAGGTCGTCCTCTGCAGCCGCAAAGAGGAAGTGTCCCTTTGCTTGTTCAATGGGGACCAGGGTGACCTTGTTTTCCTCTGCCAGGGTACTGTTCAAAACATACTTGACAATGCCAGCCCCCAACTCAGTGTGAATTATCCTGCTAACGTCAAACATTAATGCAGGGAGGATTTGGCTGTTCTTATAGTAGAGAGGTAAAGCTGTATTAGCAGAGCAGCCATTGATCCACACATCTGGCAGGAAAGAGGCCACTGAAAGTGCAATATCTGCACTTTTTGAAAGAGATACAACACCAACTCCTTTACTACCCACCTGTGGAAAAACAAAATGTTACAAGCTGCAACTGTTATGTAGATTTTTTTCTTTTGTAGATGACCATGAAGCACTTGACTCTCAAAAGACCCTTTAGCTAGATAAGGAACGGCTCCTCAGTTCCTCTTTCGGATGTTTCTTTAAATTAAACTTGACTGATTTGAATTTTATGTGACTGTCAACTGATTATTATTTATGATTTTTGTGATTTTATAAAATATTTTGACCACAAAATACTTAGACATTATAAGCACACCTTATCTTGTTTTTTTAAAAGTTGTATTCCTTCCTCAAAATAGTCTAGCTGGATCTTTTTGGTGTTCCCTGGCATGTCGTCATGGCCGTACAGTGACATAGTGAGAACCACAAATCCTCGGCTGGCCAGCAGAGAGGCCCTTTTCTCAGATACCCCTCCACCAAACGTGTACAGATCCAGCACAGCAGGAAATGGGCCTTGTCCTGGATTAGACATCATATCAGGAATTAGAACTTGCACTGCATTTCACAAATCTTGGACAGGTTTTTCACAATTTCTACTCATGTTTTGATCACATGAATGTTATGAGACATTTGTAAACACTATACAATGATTTATTGTTCATTATACATGACCTTCAATACTGACTACGGCCACTGGACTAAGATCACATCGAGACTCAGCTATTTGTGGGTTGTGCCTCTGTTTTAAGATTAAGTACAGATTAAAGTGGCTTTTGGAGTTCATCAAATGACGTCTTTATTTTCCCGCACACTCCACACACACATA